CTGCCTACCGCCCACTTTAGTGTAATATTAAGGCAACAAAATTCTTTTTCTTATAATAAGTTTGCTGAAAACACAAGAGTTGATAGACTGTATCATAGAAGCAAACAACGTTCTTAGAGTTGGGCTGATCTTTAGTTAAAGACTAAGTACCCATAAGGTCACATGGAGATTCTTTTTAGAAAGTCATAGCTATAGCAATGTAGTATTTTAAAAGGCTAGTGATCAAATATTTAGGATATCAGAAACTTGAAATCTTAATTAGGTAGCCAAAGGTGATACAAAAATCAAGCCTTAACATACGTTTAAACAGGCCCAATTTTCATACTGTAAGATTTAAATGGTTGGCATCCTCAGTTCCAGAGTAATTTAGCAAATACATTTTTAAAAGTTCACCTTTCTTATGGTTCATCAGTTTAAAATACGTGTGCGTGCATATTATACATGTGCATATATGTAAATGTGTACACACACGCACACACACACACTTTGTGGATTAACAAAGAATCTCATAAACGCAGTTGGTATGACAGGGACTATACTAGGCTGGAAGACAAGCCACCTTAATTCCAGCTCAGTCTCTCACACACAGGGCATGTGCAAATTTGGTGGCATTACCAGCTCTCTCTGGGCCTCAATTTTCTTCTAAGTAGTAGGAGAGTTATAGGACTTTTTGGTGTCTAAAATGACCTCATAGGTATGGCTGAAGTGAGCACAGAGAATGGCAGAGACACTAGGCTCCTTGGTTACCTGGAAGATAGAATTCTGCCCCAAACAGAGAGGAAGGGCATTTCATGAATATGGCAAGACAGCAAACAGAGGCAAGTTAGCAGCGAATGGACCAGTGCAGCAGGGGAGGGATGGGATGGGGAAGGAACAGGAGGACAGCCGGACAGAGCCAGACCACAGAAGCCCTGGAAGGGGGACGCCAGTGTTATCTGTGGTGACCTCAGCTCATTGAGAGCACGGCCAAGTTTACTCTTGTTCCAAAACTCTCTTCTTTAAGCAACATTCCAGGCCAAATCTGTTGGCTTACTTCAGACAACCACAACTCCACTGGACTGCAGAAAGTGGAAAATATGACCTTTAATACATTTGTCCACTATTTTATATTTATATTCAAACTTGCCTCATTTACCCAGAAATGAAGACTCAGAAGAAATGTATGTCCGTTGCCATGTTTTATTGTTGCTTCGGTTATTGTTCTGGCTTCAAATGGGGGACTTCTTGCTTAAATGAGGACATTTCCAGTGTGGAAAAAGGGAAGGGGATATCAGATCATCTATCCGACAACCATTTTCACTTAAGAGGTGGAAGCAAGGCCCCATCACAGGCAGACAGGTTCACTGAGGCCAGGTTTATACATTACAAATTTCCTTGGTTTTTCTCTGTGTTTTTCTCCTATTACCTGAGCTCCAGAGTGGGGCTCCCCATGCTACCTCAACCAACTTCCCTAGATTGGCAGACCTTGAGGAATAAAGGAACAAATGCCAGCAGCAGCTGGGGAATTGTACTACCTATTTTATAGCTAACAGAAACAGCAGTCTGTGCTGGCACCTTCAAGAATTCAGAAAAATGGTCCAGTAGGAAGAAGGACCCCTGCTTAACCTTGAAATTAATTATTAAATCAAATCATTAAAGCCTTGACACAGGCAGGGAAAAAAGTTCTACTTTTTTTCTAAAGGTTTCTTTTTGAATGACAGTATTGTAGGGAAAAGAAGACATTAAGGAATTTTGTCCTGCAATGGTATAATAGATGACAACATATGTAAATGACTTGCAACTTACAGATTGTGTTCTAAATTATTCTGAATCCAGACTCAAAATCTGAAGTCAGGAATACATTTTCCCATTGACCTAGCATTATAAAGGATAAACAGGTTACAAAGACACCTAAATAGTCTATTTAACTTGGCGCTAAATACCACCACGAGCCTGTCTTTCTGATTACAACACAGTTCCACCCAGCTGTCCAAGCCTGAAGCCTTGAAAGCCATCCTCAGCAGCTCAATTACTGGTCTGTTGCCCTCAGGCCCTGTCTCTACAGCCTGTGTCTAAGTCTTAAAGACAGATGAATAGAGAGCAGAAAGAACTTTCTAACCAAGTAAATTTCACTTAAACTCTATGAGATATTGAAAACCTCTCCTTCAATTCTGCACAGACTATAGTATGACTCTGCCACATGCTCCAAGGAACAAAGTACCAACTGGCCTAGGGTGGGCTCTGTCTATGAGTGTTTCTAAAGGGTTGTGTTGGGTGGATTGTGGGCCCCCTCCAGTCATGGAGACCTCAGCAACTTAGACCAGAAGATGAAGACAACACCACAGCTGTTCATAATACGAGACATACTCCCCCTTCCCCACAAGGTGCCAGGAAGTAACCTGAGAAACTCTGCAGAAGGATGGATAGTCTGAAGTAGTACAGGGGCATAAGAGGCAGGAATTGACAGATGATAGTCAAAACGACGTGTTATTTAGAAAACAAGAATGCAACAACTAAGAACAACAGTCCCACTTCTATGGGCACTGTTGGTTGCTTACCCAGCATCTATTCTCCACTTTTCCCCACCCACCAACACCTTGTTGAGGTATCTAACTCCTTGTCTCTTCCACTCACAGTCATCTGGTGTAGGTGCAGCTGATCCCATCCCAACCCTACGGGTCGATCCTGATTAATCTAACCCAAATCAGTGCATAGCATTCTTCATACAGCTATTTTGCTCCATGAGGCAGATGCCTTCCTCAGACTAGAAGAAGGGACTTGTTCTGTATGGCTGTGGAGAGTTCCTCTCTTTCTCCTGGTGATATGAACAAGGGAATCTGTTGATCCATTTGGGTTCAGCTGCCATCTTGTGACCTTTCAAGGGAACCTCCCCAAGGAAGAAGCCAAGGAAGGTGGCAGAGCAGAAAGAAACTGGAGCCTCAGCCCTGTTTCCAGTCACTGAGTCAATGAAGCTTATAGCCGCTCTCCCACAAGAGTAGTTCAGTAATTGCTTTTTGTTTTAGTAAATCTGAGTAAGAGTCTCTCTCCATTGCAGTTGAAAATGTTCTATCTGATAAAGTGAAAAAAATAGTGGGAAAAACCCAGTACACCATGAAAGCACGAAACCTTGGGGATTGGTGAGTGGGAGGTAAAAGATGTAATAAACGGGAATGTGCTTTGAATGTTGGGAAAGAAAGTGCCTTAAGTATCACCAGCATTTTCTTCCTGAACATACACTGAACTTTTAAAAGAAAAAAGCGTGGAATGTAAGTCCTCAATTTGCTATAAACCTAAAATACAATATGCTTGTCATTGCTCTAAATGGTTCACCTGGGAATTATATTTTCCTGAATCAAGATACCATATTATTTAACCCATTGACTGAGCAACTGCTCAATATTCAGGAGTGAGCAAAATGAAATAATTTACCTTTAAGGCTAAAACCTGGGGAGGAGGAGAGAGAATTAATCCTCTCTCTATACACATAAATGCAAACATTCGGTGTTTAAATTGATGTTCCCAAATAAGCCTGAATGAACTCCTGAGAAGTAGTTGGAGATGATTACAAGAAAAAGTTCACTTGGCTCTCTTTCAAGATGGTCAGAAGAACGATCAGGGAGGAAGAAAAATAAATTAAAGTGTTCAATATCTCACAGCAGGTCAGCCGGTCATGTCAACGGACCTCCCTACCATCTGTGTTTTGTACTCTAAAGTGACCCCATGAGCATCGTAATCATTTCACAAGTGTTCAAAGTTTTTCAGCTAGAAAAGCCTCATGTCTGTAAAAAATGATAAATTGGATGACTTTGAGATTTTTGTGTGTGTCTTAAGAAACACATGGTTGAGACTGGTCTCTAGGTATGCAAAGTGGTAGAACAGTTCACTGAGTTCCAAAGGCAAAAGGCCCTGCATCCTCCGTGAGAACCCAGCATTTTATTCTTCTCTTCTCAGCCTCCCTCAACTCCACGCGTACTGGCAGAACCAATTTAAAAATGGGCATGTTCCAAAGATCCCTGGTCAATGATAGTTTATTCCTATAGGAAATGTGTTTTAGGTTCTAATGGTATATACGGCTCTCAGCTCTGCCCATTAAAGCCTCTTAATCCACAATGAGCCTTAAATGTGGGATCTAACCATAGGTATCAGAATTTTTATGAAAGGATATGTCTAAGATGCCAAGGGGTGATGGGGACTGGGAAGACGAGCAGGAAGCAACAAGGAAAGGCAAGGATTTCCTTCTTTTCCTTCTTCTCTTCTTTGGCCTAGCATCGCCCATGACTAGGAAGCCTCTTATGGGGATGTCCAAGGGAACAGGACTGTCACAGTATGCACACTCCTCTTTCTACAGCCTGCTCTTCTGAAGTGATTACCCCTCCCTCTTCTCCCTAAGGGGTGCTGACAGGCCATTATTCTCATTGTCTTCTTGTCCTCCTCTCGGGATCCCCATGCTATAGCTTACTGATCATTTCAAAGCATTCCACCTAAGCTGTTGCCACAAAGTAAATAAATAAGGTCTGGGTTTTAGAGTTTCAAAATTAAAACTGGGATAAAATATAAACATATAAAACTTTGAAGTGCTATCTAAGTGTACTATGCTTCTATTACTGCTTTGATGTGTCACTGAAGCTCTCCTGAATTATTCTTATACACCATTACTCACATCTGTATTCCTGTAGTTTCATAGCTCATATGTGTATTAGTAATGGGAACTGGCCCCCAACATGGTCCCAACTGCATTTCAGGTACAGTATGGGTACAATAGGCTCTGTTTGCCTGAGGACTTTCCACACATAGTTTTGTGACAAATGAGGAAAAAAATACATTCCAAAATATTTTACAAATGAATGTGTAGAAAACAGCCCTGCCTTAAATTGAAGATTGCCTGCACATTAACATATGTGGTGTATACACATAGTTTTACCGACTGAAATTTTATTAATTCCCAGTCTACAGAATCCTAGTCTTGAATATTCAAAAGTTCTTCAACATTTTTTGAAATTTTGAAAAATTTCTTTCAAAAGGGCATTTTTCTGTGAGATCTTGCTACCCAGTGGCGGTGCACGCCCAGCCTACCTGTCCGTCTGTGCCCTCTGAGGCTTTATCTAGCATCGCCTCATGGACTAAGGAGTGAGACGGAGAACACAAAGCAAACAGTCTCCTCCCCGAGCCAGGCCTTCCCCAGGAGGACACCTTCCACAGTGGGGGTGTGCAGCTTCCAACTCTTCACCCATCCCTTCCTTTCCCCAAGAAGGATGAATGCCATTCCCCCAGGAAGGACTCTTCCAAAGGGCGCCACACTGCTCGATTTCACAACTTCAAGCCAGGCGGTCCAAGGAGACTTCTTTCCCTGAGTAAGTATCTCAACAAATAACTTTTTCTACATAGGCAATATATGGCCAAAACTAGTATTATGCCCTTTGTTTGGAAATAGACTTTGTATAAGTGCATCTAAATGTGACTATGGGATGAAACACTTACCTTGGCAAGTGAAACTTGCCTGCAGTTTGTTTCAAATGACTTTCTTTTTACCAATGCTTACATTGTTTAAAGAGAGGCCCCCTCACCTCCAGTTAAAATTATAACTGGGGTATGGAGTTTTAAAAACTGGCTCTGAATATGGGGTGGTTAAATAAAGCTAAAAAGCCCATAATTAACAAAACTATTTATTCAGTTTAAAAGTGCCACATTTTTATCTCTAAAAGAGATATTCTTCTCTGACTTCCTCAGCACCATCCTCCCCCCAGCCCTCCCCAGTGGAAAAGCTGGTCAGTGGGTGGGGGGCGAAAGGTATCTGAACTGAAGGGGCAAAGAAGGAAAATGAAAGTCTGCCCAAGAAAAAAAATAAAACCTGGAAAATAATAGTTATGAAGAACATTAGAATACTTCCTAATATGGAACCCAAGAAAAAAAAACATGACTGTAAAAATAGACATGTTTTAAGATTGCCCAGGGTTCAAAAGACATTTTTATCAGAAACACTGGATAACAAAATTTCTTGGTGTTTTAGATTTTATTCTATAACATTCTTCACATGCAGAACTAGGAACAAAGAAATCTGGGCTAATTATGTTAGATGGAGGCACCTTCCTGGAACCCTTTATACTGAAAAACCAAGTCAGCTTCTTGATTTTGTGTGAATGTATGAGAAATTTCTTAATTGTGAATCAAAAATGTTTGTGAATAGTTATGTATAAGGCACCAGGCTATGTACCATGAATAAGACCTAGTCTTACCTTTGAATTACTTTAGTCCATTAGAGAAGGAATTAAAAGCACTTGAGAAGATATTTCAAGAAGGATTTTTAAGATCACAAGGCAGTGAGGCAGTGTCAAGAGGCACGACGTAATTAAAATTGCTAAATGAATTGTTCAGAGTCTAACTGATACCATGACTTCCAAGAAAGGCAGATAAAATCAGGTTGGGAGTAATTTAAAAAGGAGGAGGAATTTGAGAGTTGAAAGGATAGATAAGGTTTAGATAATTATATTACTGCTACTGCCATCTATCTCCATTTGAGGGCCTGCTAGGGGCCAGGCTCACACCACAGTTGGTACTGTACATGCACCCTCTAGAATGAAGTGAGTTTATTGTCATGATTTTACAGATGAGGATGACAAAAATCCTGCCCGAGGCCTCCCAGGAAGGAGGTGAGCAGAGGTACACACCCAGCTCTAGCTGACCCCACGGCCTGCTATGTTTCTTTCACACTGACTCCGAGGAGAGGACAGTTCTGGGTGTTGCAAAATACACTTTTCTAGAACAGTGGACTTAAAGATTTGGAAAAAAAAAAAAAGATTGGAGTTCACAGAATAAGAACATGTCGTCGTGAAGCTTAGGCCAGACACCTGACATAGTTAACCGAGCACTTTGGATAGATGGGGCTGGTGGGCAGGAAAACCAGAGAGCAAGAGACTCCGGTCGTTCTGCCCGATGTGGCAGCACAGAGGCACACGGCACGGCTGGGTTGTGGACGGCAGTTCATATTTCACGGCAGTAAAGAAGACACTAGTATTGGAGCTGCACTTGGGTATTTATAACTCATCCTGTTTCAAAAATTACTAGTTGTATGACTCTGGGCAATGACTTAAATTTCTGAGAGCTTCAGTCTCCTAACCTGTTAAGTCCAATTCGTGGTAAGAACTGCACGAAGCTAAAAGATTTAAATAAGAAAAAGTATATACTGCGCAGTGTGTGGTAAATGCTCAAATGTTCATTTTATTCCCTTTATGAAGGCTGTGGAAATGGAAAAGAAGGGATGAGACAGATGGTGGGGTAAATTTTGTGAGATCTGTGACCAATTAGATATGGGGGGTGGGGTGGGGAGGAAGACGAGAGAGAGATGGCAAACACACATTTGAAACAAACCTGCACACACACAAAAATCTTCATTTCCTCAAATAGGAGTTAGGAGGTAGTTTTTAGGAATAAGTGACCTTAAGGGTGACTAGGAGATCCCCAGTTGAAAACACCCAGAAAAGAGTTAGAAATGAGATAGAGGGCTTAGGAAGAAAAGGGAAACCAGAAAAAAATGATTTGGCCATCCTTTGCCTAAGAACCTGGTTACTATAATATTTCATTTATGAGGGCCTGTGAAATTGTTAAGTCTGTTTTCTTTGTATGACTATGCTTTAGAAATCAAAGGAATATATAGGAAGTTACAACATTTTAAGAAACCAGACTCCACATTTTTAAAAACAAAGAATATTAAAAGAAAATAATCTATTTAATACAGGACTTAAGATCAATTGCAATTCTGCATCTCTCAATTTTAAGACACAATGATTGCCTCAATACCTGACTTAATTTTAAAGTCTATCACAAATGTAATCATCCTCTAGAACAGGCTTTCCTTGTGGCATAGAAGGCATGGTGGTGTAAGGCAATAAAACACAGATTTCTAAAAGTATGCGTACTTTGGAAAATGCAACTGAAAATAGCAATGGCTGGGATATGGAATGAGACAGGAAGAAAGAGGCCAAGACAGAGGTGATGTCAGTGTTACTCAGTCATCATGAATGCAGACCTGATTACCTTGAGCCATGATGGAGAATTTTGTTTTACTGACTTCTTAAGCTTGATGAATCCAGTCCCATGCTTCTAAAAGTTTCTCAGATATTACAACTAATTGTTCCAGGCATTGGATTCATTATCTACGGCTGGTGAAAGCAGATCTGGCAGCCCTGAGGACATCTGGTTCTTTTGATATTTTATGGGATGGCCTTTCCATGCCTGTTAGTGGTCCCTGGGCAAGACTGGCAGATCCACCCAGAGTTCATCACCCACTGCAGATGTTAAAAATGTGAAACCTTCAATAATCCTCTGTGATCCCCAACTTCATGGTATATGATATTCTACCTGGTTTCTAAACTACAATAATAACCTTACCCCTAGTTATATAACCAACAGATAATCTGTTAAACTTGATAGAGCCAAAGTATAACTTTGGAACATATAATGGAAAACCTGACAGAACTCAAAGAAAAAATAGCCAATCCACTAACATAATGAGAGCCCCAAAACAGCTCTCTCAGAAAATGACAGGTCCAGGACAGAAGAAATTAAGTAAGGATACTGATGATTTAGATAATTAAATGATGTTGATTTCATTGATAACTTCATGCCCAACCAATAAAAACATAAGCATTAAGACATGCAACATTCACAAGTAAACAATCTTTATGGGAAGTACATCTCTCTAGATCACATTTCTCACTCCTTTGGTAAATTTCTGGTATCACCTTTGTCATATGCGGCTTCACAGAAAGCTTATTTGTTTGGTGTGTTTTACCTTCTCTGACTTACTTTATAACGTCTTCGAGGGAAGAAGCCTTGTCTTCTCACCTCTGCATCCCTCGTAATGCTTAGTGCTTTATTCAAAGCAGACACCTATTTATGAAACGATCATCCTGAAACAGATCACTTTTAACAATGTAGTAACAACTTATGCTAAGTTATTTCATAATACTTCTCTTACAAGAATGTGTTGCATAAGGAGTCCACCAGAATCTATCAAACATTACTAGATTGGAGGTATTTTGAGAGTAGAAGATCTAAGGAAACTTTCTTCCACATTTGAATTTCAAATGGACTGAATGCCATCCTTTGCTGATCCTTGAACCACTGGCTTAGCAAAACACTTCAAGATGCCCCATAAGTTTATACAAGGTACCTACAGGTCAGTGTGAGGGGAGGGCAGAAGGTGAGGGCCACGCAGACTGCGAACCCGAGGGCTGCCTCCATTATTGGCCATCAGATGGAGCATATGTGGCTCCTGTACAGGGCCTCTTGCACCAGCTGTCCTCTCTCCTGGCTCTTCCAGAAAGGACAAGTCACAATTACAGCTTCAATTCATCTATAGTCCTTCCTATTATGATATCTGTACTTGTGCTGGCCACTTCCTCTTTTCCATACTTGACTTTAATCTGCATTTACTAAACTACCGTCCTCAGAACAACATAGTGATAGGTTAAAAAACTAAAAGGAGGTCAGGGTGCTCTGGAGAGAGGGAGGAGGTATTCCGTGTTTCAGTAAGTTTGGAAAGCCCTGATTGTAGCACCTCCTTGTTGAAGACATACTGTTCAGGACAGCATGACTAAATCTCTGCAGAAAGAAGGCCGTGCTTAAATCCCAAACTTATTTGACCATGAAGCCCCCTCTCCCTCCTTGTTTTTGGCAGAAACCTGTTACCATAACTCCACAAAACTGAGAACATGCTGTCCTGAGAATCCCCTAATGCTCAATGCCAGGAACAGGAACTAGTTCCTCATTCCAAAGGTCATCCCTGCATAAGAAACAAGTACCCTTAAGAGGAAAAAAAAGTATGTCCTTTTTCTCTCCAAAATGGCTGGGGACCTCCCTGTACATTTCACCAGCTACGAAGGATCTACAATGAGGAGGTCTGCCCCCTCCACACATCCCCACACCCCCAAAAGGGTGTCTAGTTTTCACACCAGCTTGAGGTATGCAAACTTGTAGATTTTTTTTAAGTATTTTAAAATTTCTGATTGTGCCAAAATACACATAACATAAAAATTTACCATCTTAACCATTTTGAAATGGACAGTTCAATAGTGTGAAGCACATTCACTCTGCAGGGCAGCCAACCTCCAGAACTCTTCAGTAGGAGTTATCTTTTAATAGATGAGACGCTTAATATTTAGATGGAGTCAGATCTGTTCATCTTTCCGAATGCTGTCATTTTGTGCCATATTTTTGTAACTGCTGTATTTGGCTGTTGTAACACCTTTAATCTTCAATTATACATTTAAAAATATTATCTTCATGACAGTGTTATGTCAAGAAGTATTCAGGGGATTTTGCAATGAATGAAACTGAAGCAGAGCATCGCAAT